CTTTTGGGGGCATTGAAAATGTTCCAAAATTGATTGTACACTTCAGTTGAGTGAATTGTATAGTATGTGAATTATATCTGAGTAAAGCTGTTATTTTCAAAGTGGGGTGTCTTTTACTCATTGGTTGACACATTCTGTTTTCTACATTCTTTAGCAGTGGTTCTCAATTTTGCCACCCAGGGGAAATTTGGCAATGCCACGAGATATTTTTCGTTGTTACAACTGGTGGAGGAGTACTGCTGGCATCTAATGGGTAGAGGCCCAGGATGCTGCTAAACATCCTTCAGTGCATGGGCAGCCCCACAACAAAAAAATTACCTGGCTTATATTGTCAAAAATGCCCAAGTTAAGAAACCCTGTTCTCTACTTGTGTTCCTCTAGTGATAATGGACCACAGCCATGTTTTTGAAGCACTGAAAAATCATGAGTCATCAAACAGATAGATGTTCACTGAATTCCATTTACTGAGGGCAAGGCTATTCAGTAAGACTAAACCCCTAAAAAGTGTTTTATTTCCTTATCTGGTTAAGTCTAAACCTAAGTTAATTGGATAATTGAGTTAACCAAAATATTTTATCCCTCTGTCATCTTGATTGAGACTTAACTGTATTTTGTTGTAGTTTACTTTGTTATTTATCTTCTTAAAGATCAAATTTATGGAGTATAACATCTACTTGCCATAAAAACAGAAATAAACATGCCACAGCATAGCCTTGAGGATATAATTAAAGCTAACTTGTCCATTTCAAAAAATTATCATCAACTCATGTTCTGGAATGGGAATATGGCCCTAAACTAAGTTACTTTGCTAGGCTTCAGTCTGCAGCCATGCTCCTTTTATTGTATGTACCTGTTTGACCTGTCCAAAGTCTGGTCCATGGGAAAAGGGAGCAGAGGTTTCATTATAAAATCTAGCATTTCAAATATAACAACTAACATTTATTGAAAACTTATTGCTTGCTCGGTATTATGCAATGTACTTTATGTATATTATCTCATTTAATTCTCACAAAACCCTTTTAGCTGGCTATGATTATTCCTATTCCTGTGGAAGCATCCCTCTTACAACTCTCCATCCTCCTGCTCCAGTATGCACTGGTTGTTTTTTAGGTCTTACACTACTGTCATTCTGACAGTTCCCTTCCCCATAATTCTAGGGAATCCTCTTTTCTTCTCTCCTGTCTTGACTCCCCTGCATCTTCCCTTACCATGTTGTCCTCCCTCATTTTGGTGAAATATATCCTCCATTACCTTAGAAGAGCACCAATGTCTTTATTCTGCCTTCATTATTGAAAAAGATATTTTGGCTGGGTCTAGAATCCTATGTAGGATATATTTTTCTCTCACAATTTTGAAATCATTATTCTCTTGTCTTTCAGTTTGGGGTATGATCTGTTTTGTATCTCTCAGGGCTCTTAGAATTTCTTTATCCCTGGTGCTTCGAAATGTCACAGTATTGTGCCTTTCTCTGGGTCTTTTCTTCAAGTATTTTACCTAAAACTCAGTGAGGCCTTCCACTCTCAAAATTCATTTTCTTGAGTTTAGGGAAAGTTTCTTAAAATGCTTCTTTGATAATTCCTTCCCTTTTTGTTTTTTCTTTCTGGAATGCCTACTGCTTAAATGTTGACTTTTAAAATTTATCCTGTAATTTCTTTATTTTGGGAATCCTACAGTCTTTTCTTTTGTCTTTTAGTTCTACTTTCTGAGAAATTTCTTTAACTCTATTTCCTAATTCTATCTTAAACTTTTAATTTCAGTTATATTTTTAATTCCCAAGAGTTCTTTCTTGTTCTTTAATTGCTTCTTTTATACCCTCCTATTCTGTTTGATAGATGTTTATCTCTTATCTCTGAGAATATTAATTATAGTTTTTCTCAAGTATTTCTCCTGCAGTCTGCCTTGATTCTTATTCATCTGACTCCCTTCTTGCTGTTTGTTTTTTTGGATTAGGTCTCTGTTTCTCATGTTAAAGACTTTACTCAAATATTTAATGGTCCTTAACTGTCCATAATGTATAAGATTCAGGGTTTATTGCCTGTTGATATGATGCATTGAGAAGCACACCAACATCACTTTTATAGTATTCTTGCAAAAAAATGTATAACCTAAATTCAGCCATGAAGAAATAATACACAAACCCAAACTGAGGGATATCCTATAATTAGCCAGTATGCTTTTAAAATGTCAATATTATGAAAGACAAAGAGACTGAGGTACTTTCCAGATTCAAAGAAACTAAGGAGACATGACAATTAAACGCAGTGTATGATCCTAAAATGAACCCTGGACCAAAATTAGTAGGACAGTTGGTGAAATTTGAGTAAGGTCCGTAGATGAGTTAATGTTATTCCTGGTTTTTTATACAACTCAATAGCAAAAAAAAACAAACAATCCAGTTAAAAAATGGATAGAGGATATAAATAGACATTTTTCCAAAGAAGACATACAGATGGCCAACAGACACACGAAGTGATGTTCATTATGACTAATAAGGAAAATGCAAATCAAAAGCACAATAAGCTATCATCTCACACCTGTCAGAATGGCTATTTTCAAAAAGTCAATAACAAGTGCTGGCAAGGATGTAGAGAAAAGGAACCCTTATGCACTATTGGTAGGAATCTAAGTTGGTGCAGCCACTATGGAAAACAGTATGGAGGGTCCTCAAAAAATTAAAAATAGAACTACCATATGATCCAGCAATTCCACTTTGGGGTATTTATCAAAAGAAAACAAAAACACTAACTTGAAAAGATACATGCACTCTCATGTTCATTGCAGCATTATTTACAATAGCCAAGCTATGGAAACAACCTACGTGTCCATCAGTAGATGTATATGTATATATACACACACATACAATGGAATATTAACCATAAAAACAAGAATGAAGTCTTGCCATTTGCAACAGCGTGGATGGACCTTGAGGGCATTATGCTAAGTGAAATAAATCAAAGAAAGACAAATAATGTATGCTGTCACTTATATGTGGAATCTAAAAACAAAACAAACAAAAACCAAGCTCATACAGAACAGATTGGTGGTTGTTAGAGAGGCAGGGGATGAGGAGTGGGGTAAATGAGTGAAGGGGGTCAAAAGCTACAAACTTAGAGTTTTAAAATAAATAAGTCATGAGGACATAATTACAGCCTGGTGACTACAGCTAATAATACTGTATAACATACTTGAAAGTTGCTGAGAGAGTAAATCTTAAAAGTTCTCATCACAGGAAACAAAAATTCTGTAACCATGTAAGGTACCCAATGTTAACTAGTTTTATTATGGTGATTATTTTGCAATATATCCAAATATTGAATCATTATGTTGTACATCTGAAACTAATGTAATGTTGTATGTCAATTATACCTCGATTTAAAAAAATTTAAGTATGTGGGTGGATGCATGCAGGAAAAAAATCTCAGAGAAGTTACTTAACAGTTAACTCTAGTGCCCTTTGGGAACTGTGATTGCAGGGTCAAGGTTTTCATAAGCTTACTTTAAATTGATAAAGATTATGGGTGACAGATATTTACAGTCTGTTACGTGTAAAGGGTTTTTTTTAAACAATTAAAAAAGCTTAAGAATAAAAGAATGAATAAATAAAAGTGTTAATATTTCCTCTAAAAATATTTCGCCTAGTTTTGATCATTGCGCTATGGTTATGTAAGATGTTAACATTTGGGGAAGCTGGTGATTTTATTCTTTAAATATTTTTCTCTCTTCTCTCTCTCTCTCTTTCTCTTTTCTCTTCCTCCCCCTCCTATCTTTCTGGAACTTCACTTACACATATATTATACTGCTTGATATTTTACCACAAGTCCTCTTTATTTTTCATATTATACAAATTCTTTTGATATATCTTCAGGTTCACAGAACTTTTCTCTAGTTATTTTCAATCATATGTTAAGCGGATCCACTGATCTTTAATTCAGATATTTTATTTTTCAGTTCTATATATATTTCAAAATATACATTTAATTCCCTTTTATAGTTTCCATTTCACTGCTGAGATTCCCCATCCATTCATTTATTATGACCTTTTTTTCCATTTTATGTCCTTGAACATCTTTATAATAGCTACTTTCATTTTCCTGTCTGCTAATTCCAAGATCTGGCTTATCTTGTGGTCAGTTTCTATTAATTAACTTTTCTCTTGCTACTGGGTCACATTTTTCTATTTCTTTGCATGTTTAGTAAATTTTAATGTATATTGGACAGTGTGTGTGGCACATGATGGATACAATGAGTTTTGTTATCTTT